GATTAAAAACTTTTTCTATAATCAGTCATTCAGTTTCGATGACCGTCTGTACTTTTGGTTGCTAAGGCGTCAGACAGTTTCTACTACGTTCCTGATCTGGTGCCAGCATTCCCGCGTGGGTAGCAGATAACCAGAGTATAGAATAGAGTCCTTCCTTTGTTACACCAGGTCATTCTTATCTGTCCTTGGGGTTTTCGTCGGTAGGTTGCGCTAATAGAAGCTGTTTCGTCTAACTTTCTGGAAACATTCAGAAACATTTCATTTCTTAACATGCCCAAATCATCTTCTCAGTTTAGAGAGTTAGCTGCAGTGCTTTGAGGTACTACCGGATATGTGTACTCCGGACACAGTCGAGACGCTCAGCTCATCGATTTGTCTCTGAAATTCCATTTTGGCCGTTTTTCAGTCATAGTCTACTTCTCATGACTATGGGTGAACATGGATATGAAGATCGACTTGAACACAGAGAATTTAGTTTTCAAACTCAGCTCTGCTTTATTCACAGCGGTTCAGGTTAGTTCATTCAGAACGACGCTGGCCATTCAAATTCGCCCTCTCGATTTCTTCAGTTTTCTCTGGCAGAGCTGACCCCGAGGTACATGAACTTCTCCACTTGTTCCGCTGCTTCTCCTGTTATCTGCAGAGCGCAGTGGGTAGGAAAGCAACAATGCATTCATTTTCATTTTAGACACATTAACACACCTGCCGTTCCATAACGTTCGATAACGACATTACCATGATGGGCAGTTGAGTAAGCTTTACGATACACCTCGCCATTGTGCTCAGTCCTACTCCTTTTTCACCCAGCTTGGGGCCAAGCACGGTCTAGTTATTTCTGTCAAGCATTTCAGATTAAATGTCATCGGGTTAATGTTTCGATGCAAGTTTGAAAGGTACTGGTTGGACTAATTAGGAATGTTGCTTAGAGCGTTTGAAGTATGTTAATAAACATTCTTCATCTTTGATGATATACAGTGTGTTATTGTGCATCCTGATGCTCCTAGATTGCTAGAAGGCCATTAAAATATGCCACGGTGTATATACGTATATTTATTCGAATCGTATCGTTCTTATCGACGACGTAATTGGTACTGAGTAAACCTCTTCCTTAGCTAATAGACAATGCAAGATGCATATGTTACTGCAGATGCTTAAATTCCGTATTGTCCTGGTCTACTGAACTGGTCTCCTAAGCACGTAACTGCAAAGAGGTGATGTGGGTAACCGTGTACACTAGCAAGGTCAAATTATGCATAGAGTGAACATTGTGTTTAATAGTTGAACAGTTTGCTGCTTGACTCGACTCTCCGGAAAATACAAATTTTTGACAGGAAAGTACCTAAGCAGTTGCAGTAAGAGTATAACTTTGGCAATGGTCTGGTAGATAAATCGACCCATCGTGAAACTGCCGCCTGTAAAACCATGGGTTCGAATCTCGTCGCTCACTTCACATTCTGTGACTAAACTATGTATTGCAAGGCAGATAAGGGCGATTCGCAGTATTTGCGTCATTCTTGTAGATATTGCCTGTAAAATAAGGCACTCTTTACTGGCAGCATTGAAACAGATCAAAGCTGCACGACCATTTTCAGAAAAAAGTTTTCAGGCAGCACATTCACATACAAGACAGAAAAAACCCTGCAACTATCTCGCAGTTTCATTTCATTTTTTAAAATGCCTGCATGATTCGATTTATCACACTGTAGCGCTATCACTACTCTTACGATGTTTTACAGGCGTAAAGTCACTGACAGACAGACCGGTCGCGACGTTGTTCTCAATGATCACGACGTCCAAGTAATTCGAAACATCAGCCATGGCCGTTTTCCAGTTCCGGGTTACAATCCGTATCAGGTAAAATTGTTTTTTAGGCAAACAGCTCTCTGATGCAAATATTTTAGCCTTATATCAACTACTACACCGGAACTGTGTCTGTGTTACCGCCTTGTGAATTTTTCGAATCAAAGGCCAGCTTCACACCTTCTAGAGATGAGGAAATAATGGTACGTCGGTTTCAACTTAGTCTAATATCAGTGTCATCATTCCTTAGTCATACTTCTACAACCTATGAGTGGTATGAGAGGTGACAGCGGGTTCTCAAGGCGATGTACAGCTGAACCTGAGCAAGTTTAATCATATTCTGAAAGCTTGAGAAGTACAAGGATCTAGTGGAAGAGGCAACACTTATGAACCCGCCTCGTCGGGTTCGAATTCTCCAAGATGAATTTACAACTGAAACCATGGCCCTCATACCCCGGAGGCTCTGTTGTTTCAGGTAAAGGCAGCCGATGGTCAGGAATGAAAACCGAGGGTGGCAAAAATACCCGAGTTACGGATTGGAGCTGCTACGATTTACTAACGCTGACAACGTACCACTGCTTATCAGTTCTCGGCAAAATAGGATATCGAAAGCTAGAAGAAGAACTTAATAAAGTCATTTGGGATATTGCCAGACTCAGCGAAGTTAGACGCAAAGAGGAGGGTTGGTTAGGGCTTAACAGTTTTAAACACCCGTTTCACAGAGAATCGGCAAATATAAGAACAGGGGGAGTAGGATATATTTTCTGTTGTCGAATAAAGTCCAATGTAATGCAAGTGGATAGCATGTAGTAGAGGTGTGAAGGGCTGGTTCTGAATGTTTTGAGAGATACGAACTCAAAACGATCCAACTACATGCACCACCATCAATCCATGTTGATGAAGAGATGGAAACTTTTTATGCAGGTTTCATGTCGCATACAACTGACAAGAGAATTAAAAGAACGATTGAAGGACTTGTCAGTACACAGGTACCAATACAAACGACAGAGGGCCAAAAATGTTGTATTTGGATTTATACCTCGACCTCCTGACAGCTCGTCTGTTAAGTATCATCATAGAAAAAATGCTGTGAAAATACTTAGTGAAGCCGTTACGGAGCAGTCGCGAGACGCCTTTTTCGTTCCAAGCTGAATGGTAGTGAAGAAAGCTCCCCATAACTGAGCAGAAGAGCAGTCTCTTTTCGCGAGTTGAATGAACATATCTGGACCAGTTTCGAATTGATCTCTTTGCAAGAAGCTTGACGAAGTTCCTGAAACTTATCCTTCATATTGTTTCGTAGCAGGCTTCACTGTGGTATGACGAATAATAACATGGAACTGATACCGACTCTTTGCAATGAAAAAGGAATTGAGTACTACCCGTTGTTGACAACGTTTTCAGGTTCTTTCTTGTATTCGAATTCACACATGAAAATGAGTAAATGTCATGCCTAGATGAGTCGAAATACTGTAGTCAAATTAACTTCGATTGCATTATCCCTCGTCTCTCTATCTGCTCCAGTTAGCTATCGAAGTACTTAGCGATTAAGTCACCACCGACACCTAACACATGACGCAGCTTTCTGAATCAATGTATCCTTCAACACAGTGAGACTGCGTGTTTGCGGCTACTTTGATTAATCTGGCATAACACTTAAGCTGTTTGTTGCGAGTTGCCATGACTCACATTTTGTGCACACTTTTGATGGCGCGCTTAAAACTGATTTATCTCTATTGTAACAGGTAGAAAAGTTGGCCAAAGCGATTCAGAGTGGCCGAATCAAACCAAAAGTTGAGAAAACAACAGTAAAGAAGCATGAATTTTATGATTTATGGACAGGAGAAACCGTAAGTCGGCGAATTACTGTTGAGTTATGAAGTTTGAATTGTAACGTTTCTCAGCAACTGACCAGAAACCAGCAAGCTAGAATGAAGATGGCCATTCCTGCTCCGAAAATGCACTTGCCAGGCCATGAGGAATCATATAATCCTCCAACGGAATACCTTTTTACTGAAACAGAGGTTCTCTCAAAAATTGATTGTAAATACTGACGACGAATGTGAATTTGTTTAGATAGAGAAGTGGAAAAAGTCAGAGCCGGAGGAACGTAAACTCGACTTTATCCCGGTAAGATTTAGCAGCCTGCGAGAGGTGCCTGCCTATCGTAAGTTC